ATTTAATGTGGCAACAGATACCACCACTGAACACTGCCAAATCAAACGCCATCCCATCTCTGAGCTCCGGTTTCCCTGCATAATATGAAGAAACACCTGGCTTGAGTCAGTGATTAGATAGCGCACCAGCACTGACATGAAGTTGCACTCACTTTTACACCAAATCCTCTTTGCTAATCATGATGCCTCCTACAGAGGTGCAAGATTCAGCAGGCACAAATTCCAAAAGTAGAAGTGAGACAATTTACAATTAATAACTGAAAATCTGCCATCATACAACTCCTCTGTTCTCTCACCCTGAGCCTCCCCTTACCAAGACGGATCAAGTACTGACGTCAATTAGTACTCAGTCTTTGGTACCCTGCCTGCTTCAGTGTTATCCATATGTTTCTTCTGAAATGTTATGCTGTCCTGAAACGCTATGTTGTTCTGGTGAACTGACTTGCAATTGTTTCAGTCAATCCAGTTCCCCATTAGGTACTCGGCGCAATTTTGACCTTGCAAAGACCAACACTCATTGTCCAGCGCTGCCGCCTTGTGCCACAGAGCTTTCTTTGCTGTAAGCAGTATCCTGCGGGTCTGCGGAAGGCAGGCAATGATCCTGGGAGCTGCTTGAAGGAAGCCGGCACCAGTGGCCACTGGGAGCCGCGCTGCCTCCAACGAGACACAGGCACACAGCCCAGGAGCAACAACAGCAGGTCTATGCTGGACTTACCAATTAATCCCCTCTTCTTGAGATGCAGTAAATAAATCAGCTTCAGAGTTCAAAAGCAGACACTGAATATTCATTTGCCACCTTCTAAAAACTGCTGTGAAGTCAGTGAGTAGATCAAACTCATGCACCATCACTGGTGCGTCATTTGGGATCCACTGTCCTCAAAAAAAGACCCCAAAACACCAAGGTATTTTAAATATGCATAATATGTCAACTTTGGCAAACTAAGGGAAGAATAAAATTCACCAGTGGGTAAAAAGATTAATGAGTTTCTCCCTCCTTCCATTTAAAACTTCTCTCCTCCTTCAGTCTTCTTTCAGCTAGCACAACACACTCCTCCAGCCTACTTCGCAACGCAGAAAACCCAGCCTAAGAGCCTGCCTCCTGTACCTCTCGTACCTACTCCAACGAGTCACTAATGATGCATCTCATCTAAGGTATCAGACAACAAATACACTCTGCAAATTGTGTGAAACCCTTCAGTGAGTGTGGGTAAAAAATCAAAGCCTCCCATGCCTCCAGATTTTTTGTGGCTGTGTTTATTATTATTATTATTGCTTTGCAAACAAGGAAACCAATATGCAAATTCTCCTACGCTACTGCTTCCTGACCCAGCTCCGCTGGAAACCCACAAAAGTGCTGGCTTTCAGATTTTAAAGGGAGATGAAGGAGAAGGTGAAAGAGGAAACAAAGGAGGGGTCACCACTCAGGGGTGCTCTTCACTTCAGGGCTACACAAGATACTAAAATATCCATTTTTTAGCAATTAAGGTCATCTAATCTCAAGATTGCAGAATTGTTTTTGGCACATCAGATGCTCATGAATCTTGCTGAAAGTGCTGCGATGCCCATTGGGGTATTAAATATTTATCTCTGCGAGCTTTTAAAATACAGATTTTTACTGTGCCAGAAGAAAGGGTTTTTTTTACGAGTATTTCAATATTAAATTGAGTAACAGAATACTAGGAAAGAGAAACATTTTCTAAATCATCTTAAGAGAGGTGAAGAACTAAGTATATACACTAAGCATACTGCTTCCTCATTATTCTTCATATCTCAACCACAGCTGCAATTTGTTAGCTGCTTTCCGAACACAAAGATAAATATAATCCTTGCACTGAACAGAGTATACCTTAAGAAGGCAAAAAACTGGTGAAAGACAATCAGTTCAAGTTGACAGCAGGTAAATCTCTTACTAGTAAAGATGGTGAACTGTTTTGGTATTTCTTTCCTGGTCACTTTTATACCATGTTCAAACTTCTCCAGTGGTGGCATCCACTGTATTTCTTTCCCTTCCCAGCCCACTGTCATGACAATAGAGCGAGCTGAATGGGGCATTCTTCTTGTCCATCCCATGTATCCCCTTCCGTGTGAAGGGCTTGTCTTCCTTCCCCACTTCCAGTCCCTCTTCGTGCATCCAAACCAGGTAGATATGAGAAACCCAGTTGGCTTCTGGCACCTGGCAAGTTTCTGTTTGTGTTTTACAAGAAGCCCTTACCATAACTCAAATAAAATGCTTCAGAACAGCTTCATCCAAACAAACATTTCCCAAAGACTCACTACAAACAAAAAAACCTCTCAATAAAACCCAGAAAGACTCAACACCCCACCCACAAAGCAACACAATGCCTATGTACCTGAGGATGCACATACAAGAAACATTCTTTGGCTCAAAATACACTTAAAGACCAAAAATCTTCTACTTCTTGGTTGGCTCTAACTGAATACACATGCTGGCGTGACTCAGAAGTGATGGCAGACCTTCATGCAGATTTCAGCACAAGAAAATAGGAGGGCTCAGAATAACATGTGATACATAACCACGGTTCATTTATCATCAGTATAATAGTTAAGAGAAGTATATATACACACACACCCTGGGGGCGGGGGGAGGTGGTGGCGGTAGAAGTGTGTGCACGCATGCCTGCATCCCACCCTCTCTGTGTATTGCCAGAAATTGTAGAACTCTCTTATAAAGAATCAGTTTCATGCTTTATTGTTGGGGGGTCTCCCCGCCCCCCCTTAATTATTTGTCTCAGAGGTACTCTTTAAAACAAACCACAAAACCCAGCAGAAACAAACCACCTAGTCTCTCCAATCAGGTATGACCTAATCCTTAAACCAGGGCTAGCTGAGCTAGCCACAACAGCAGAATTGCTTAGTTACGTAGCACAGTAATCCAGCATCGTGGTTCCCCAGCTCCCACCAACGGTACTTACTAGCCAAGAGACAAAGTGCTTCCTTTGACCTGAAAGAGCTTTGCTAATGCACCCTCTTTTCTCCTGGAACTAGTTATCTAGAGTCAAAACAAGCCAAGCTGAAAACCACTGAGTGCAGCTCTCCTTGACTAAGAGTCTATGAGCTCAGTAAAACAGACATTCCTGGTAATGCCAGTTTGCCAGTTGGTTGAGGACCTCTACTCGAGGCTCACATATAATTACTGGCAAATCATAATTTCAAAGTAATCCAGATGCCAACTTTTGGCTTACAGTAGTCTACCTCATTTCTTTTCTCCCTTGGACAGTAAACAAATAACCCTTGTATCATGTTATACATTATTAGTATTAACTTACAGAATCAAATCTTAGAGGTTTTTGTGCCTGATCAGACCCTCTGCTTTATCTTGAAATCAAAACTCTAAAGAGGATGATGTAAATAACCATATCTGAATAAAGATAAGTGAAACACAATTTTCCTACCAGCTTGGATCTACTGTTCCCAGACTCCTTCCAAGAGATGACAAAGAAAACCAGGTTTGAAGAAAACCAAAAAAAGACGATAAATAGAGCAGGATGAAAGACAGATTTAGGAACTGTATACTGCGTTTGGATCACTTGGATATCGCTGTTTGGGATGGAAAGGATCAAAGATACTACCACGAATACTGTGTGTCTGAGATAGGTGAATGAAAAAAATGTTTAAACCACAGTATGTCAACAACCTTGTAATTTCATCTCGACTGGAGACTTCACATTTCCCACTAGGCTACACAGGACATTGTGCAAAGAAAATACACAGGGCAAAAAAGGCCACAGGGAAAAAAAAGGCCACCTTGTCACACACTGCCCCATGAAAAGACAGGGGAACAGAAATGAAAACACAGGTAGCACTGCTCAGTTTTACAGTTCTGGGGAACATATGTTTGTATGGCTGCAAATCCAATTAATG